AGGGAAATCTGATGCAAGACTAGTGGCTAAGATGCCCCTGGCAGGGGACCCTGGGATGCACAAGAGGGGAAGCAGGTCAAGAAGCTTCTGGATTGTCCCCTGGGCTTCCTGGTAGATCTCTTTTTCTCAGATGTTTAGATTTATTCCCTCTGTATCACACCTTTCTGACCTACTCTACCTTATGTGAAAGATCTAGAAGTGACAAAGAACTGAAATATTAAACCTAATACAGAAACACACAAACTGCTTCAAGATCTGGATTCATGAGATTGCTGACCCCCCAAGGTGAAGGATCTTTTCCCTAAATCATCTCTCCACCACCCAACGTGTCCAACACAACACCTTGCACATAACAGGTATCAATTAAATGACTGCCGATAACCTCAGGGACAGCAAGCAAGCAAAGCAGCCTTCTCTTTCTCAAACAGTTTCTCTGTCTGCTCCTGCACTGTAAGACAGAGCAGTTCCTGACTGTGGCTGTTGCATATTCTTTGTATTCTGTGACTGTGCATCCACAAGTTTGCTCACCCTCCCCCACGCATGCATACTATATCTGAGAGGCTGACCTCCCACATCCCCTGATAAATGGCACTATTTCTATCCTTGCAGATCTTAATCTCACTTATATAATGAATTGAACTTATCTTTTTTTGAACTCTTTCCTTGGAAGGCAACAACCATCCCATCCCCCATTTTTCCCCCTGCATTTATGCTACTCATTCAGAATAAGCTTTCTGTTGCTTTCAGTCATCGTATGTGATATGCCTGGATGCTTAGGGCAGGTTCATAATACCTCTTGGTTATTGGCTTATTATAGGACATTGCACCATAAGGAGAAACTCTGGGCAGACATGGTACACACACACACACACACACACACACTATAGTCTTGTAGACTTTAAAATAATCCCTTTTAAATGAGTGCCCAGAATCTTCTGGTGGCTACCTGGGCCATCTTGCCTATCCCAGCTGTCATTCTCCCCATCTTCACTCCAACAAATTCTTCCTTCTCCTCCTGTCTTCTTCATCCCCTGTGATTCTCTCAGATGTTTCTCCCAGCCCTGTATATCTACCTGTAACTCCATAGTTAGCAATGAGGCTTCCTGAAAGCTAGCAAAGGGGATTCAAACACTGGTTGACTTCTACCTCCTTCTCTACAGCATGGAATCAAAATTTTATACTGCAGCTAGAACCAGAGAGGACAGAGCAGGCATTCAACTTTTTGGTTTCCTAGGTCTCCAGGCATTTAGCAACCCAGATTGGTTGTGCTTCAGATATTTTGCCAAGCATTGAAAATAGTTAAGAACATATAAGTCTCCTTTGCTGGGCCTTTTCCTATATTCCAGGAAAGGAGTCTGTGTTTATGGGGGATTTTGTTTGTCTATTTTTAATCACAAAGAATCGATACAATGTTTATTTTCAAATGTCTTGATTCCCATCCTCAGTGTATCTTCTGAGCCCTGACCTCCTAAATTAGTGTGTCTCTTGAGATGCAAACTCCACAGGAATCTCAGTATGAGGGGTGCTCAGTGTATTTTCTTAACCAGATGCCCTTTATAGACTATATTAGTCAGCTTCCTGTTACTATGACCAATGACCCAAGGTACTCAACTTTTTAAGACAAAAAGGTTATTTTGGCTCACAATTTTTAGAGGGTCCTATCCATGATTGGTTGTCCCTGTTGTTTTTGTTCCTATGGTGAGGCAGCACATCATGGTGGGAGCATGTGACAGAGGAAGACCACTCAACTCATAGTCAGGAAACAGAAAGGGAGAGAGAGATGAAAGAGGAAAAGGGGCCAGGATCCCACTATCCTCTTTGAGGGCACATCTCTCCTGATCTCCAATCAGGTCCCACCTCTTAGAGTTTCTACCATCTCCTAAACAGCTCTAATTGGGGATCAAGCATCCACCACGTGGGCCTTTAGGTGACATTTAGGATCCAAACAACCACATAGACCTATATAATTGTGAGTGTGTGAGTAAGAGTGAACCAGTGTCCAGTCCTGTGTGCTGCCTGATGATGTCTGTGCTCAGTATGGTCTCCAGCCCAGCAGCATGAGCAGCACCTGCGCACTTGCTGGAAATGCAGAATCCCATACCCTGCTCCAGACCAACTGAATCAGAATCTAACTTCTAAAAAGTCCCTGAGGAATTTATATGCAAATTAAAATCTGAGAAGCACTTACTTTATCGGATGAACTTGACAAAATTCGTTTTCTCGCTTAATGAGGTAGTATTATCATAACGATCCCCATTTCACATGAAATGTATTTTTTTTCCTTCCTTTTTTTGCTGTCACATATCCATCCCATAAAAGCAGCATTGCGGCAAATGAAAATAAGTTCCCACATTCCAGAGAGTGGTCATGTTGTCTGGTAATTCTCCACAAAGGACCCAGGATCTGTCCTACTCATACAAATGCTCATGGCCTCTTCCTTCTTTGAAGCCACCCAGTGCCTTTATGTGAGTCAGCACTTCTCAGTTGATTTGCACACATTTCTCAGTTAATTGGCATGCATGGATGATGCTTTATCAGGAGGTTTTATCCATATGGCCAGTGTCCACTGTGCAGCATGAGTGGGTCTTTCTTGTTCTCCCCAAGGAAGGGGAAACAGTGACTCTGCCGGAGGTTCCTGCCAGGTCCTGGGCAGATAGCTCATTTGTTGGAGTAAATGCAGTGTGGTCCAGTTACTTCTAACAAATACTCTATGGTATATTTTCAAAGAATAATGGAGTCTTAGGAGGAAGAGACCAGAATTCCCATTCTGCCATTGTTATTCATTGTAGAAACAGTGAAGTGAGACTGGAAATTCATTTTGGTGTTTGGTTTTATTGTTGCTTCATCCTTAAAAATGCTCACATTGATAAGCCAGCATTGTTCCAAAAGGAAAGGTAAGTTTTATCTTTGTTAGACTTCCCAAAATAAATACTCTCTGAATCCCCTTAACTCTGAGATTCTAAGAGAAAAGAAAGGGGGGAAAAAAGGATGAGAAGGAGCTTGCATTCCCTGATTAACCTTGAGGAGTCTGAATATGATCTAGTCTGGTAACAGAATGGCTGTTGGGGTGGAGTCCTTGAGTAGCAACACTGTCCTGAGATCTCAGCAAATGGGGCCCGCTTTCAGGTCCCTGGAGGTACCACATCCTGATGCTCTTCTGCAAAATGTTCTAAGCTCTTCTCTCACCCCTAGGGATAGGTGGGGTGAGCGATAACATTCAGGGAGGCATGCCCATGCTAGGTCGGGAGTGTGGAGTTGCTCTATCCCCCTTGGGAGACACACTTCAGACACTCTTCAGCACCTGGCAGACACTCTTCGCATGGTTTCTTCCAGGTTCCCCATTGACTCTGAACATCATACCCATGTAGTTCTTGGAGCCTTGTCACCAGGTGCAGGTTCTAGAAAGGTGGTGTGACAAATTCCTTTGGGTTACTGTAATATTTCCCCATGAAATTATGTGGGATTGAACTATCAGAAAAGAACTGATGGGGGACTGTGGTCATGGCTCAGTGGTAAAGTGCTTGCCTAGCACATGTGAAGCACTGGGATCTATCCTCAGGACCACATACAAAATAAATAAATAAATAAATAAATAAATAAAAATAAAGGTATTATGTCTATCTACAACTAAAAATATTTAAAAAAAAAAGAAAAGAAAAGTACTGTTCATGGTGATGACTTCTATTTTTATATAGATAGGAGCCCTGAAAAAAAAATATTTTCCTGGTGTACCATACCTTTTAGCAATGACTTTGCCAACAACATCCAAAGACTGACATTTCATCCTAGATAGATATGATCTAAGGTAGGGGATGGAGATGGGTAGTCACCAAGTGCCAAAGAGCAAATGAGCTGGGGATATGGGCACAGTGAGAGGTGGGAGGTCCTCAAAGCTTGGACTTGTAGCAGAGTCAGGGTGCCAAAGCACCTGAGTTCCAACCCCACCATTAGCTCCTCTCCACAGACACCTGGGCTGGACCCAGATATGGTTGAATAAGCACCAATGGTAAGAATATAACCCTATAGGGTATTGGGGAAAGTTATAAAGAGTTTCAATTGCCCTGAGCTCAAAAGGAACCAGGTAGCAGGTTATATGAGAAAGGAAGATGGCTGTGCCTTCTTGACCTTCCTGCTGGCTGGGTTTTCACCACAGCCAGGTGTTTCAACAGAGTTCAGAAAATTTGACACAGGGGCTCTTCTCTCACACTGAACTATAGGGAATGGGATAATCAGAAAGGGAGAGGACCCAGATTGTTACAAGAGCACGTAATGATGGATGAAAGCAAAGCAAATTTTGTAGTACTCAACTATTTTGAATCATGAGTTTCAAATTTCACAAGTGTTTGAGAAGGATAACTCCCAAATGCGTTCAAAATCAGATATTAAAATACCTAGGCTGTTTTAGTAACCACAGATTTATCATTTGAAGCTAACTACCATTTATTTATGTTTGCAAATGCTTATTGAGAATCTAATACATAGTAGTCACATGGTGCTTTCTCATTCAGTTATTCTTCACTCTTTCTTCCTTACCGTTTTTTAAATGTTTTATTTTTTATTGGATAAATAAAAATTGTATTTATTTATTGTATACAACATGATGCTTTAAAATACATATTAATTGTAAAATGCCTCAATCAAACTAGTTATTCTCTACCTCAGTTTGAAACTAAACCAGTTGTTTTGATTTTATTTGTCTTAAAATGTAAAATGTTCACTTATTTGTTCTGGAAGTAGTTAGTAGCTTGTGTTCTATATAACACATGTAAGAAAAATGTTGATATGCCTTTCTTATCAAATGTCTTTAAAAAGTTAAAGTGACTTGGCTGAAAGAACATTGATCCAAGACTCAGGCAGGGAATTTCTCTCTTCACAGTGCCCTCCCTATATCGTTGATGGGCTGTTCAAACCCACTGGTCACGACCATAACTATTCTATCTACTGTGGCGCTGTTCCTGGTTTAACCGTCTCTCTATTGTTTTCTATCTCTTTCTCCCCAGAAGGCCAGGGCTTTGTGAGTGAGGATGAGTACCTGGAGATCTCTGACATTAAGCGGGACCAGTCTGGGGAGTATGAATGCAGCGCCTTGAATGATGTTGCCGCACCCGATGTGCGGAGAGTAAAAATCACTGTAAACTGTGAGTTGACCGGCCGTCCGAGAATTCTGGGGGAGAAGAGGGAATAGATATGAGGGGGAGAAGAGGGAATGGCAGTACCATTTGCTGAGAGACCCACATTCAAGTGGCTGCCATCAGGAAGATTCTTTACAGATGGCTTTGTCCCATTCTTGCCTCCATTGCCGTCTGTCCATGGAGTCTTCCTGAGACCCTCAGAGCTCTCAGCCAGTGGAGACAACTGCTAATTTAGACTTGGTCTGAAGGCCAGAAGAAGATGCTGTTGTCATCACAGTGTCTTACAGGGAGTTCTTTCTCTGTTATTTTACTGGGAAGGAATTGTGTCACCAGACACAGCAAATGGCTGGACATGCCTCTCATCTTTCACTGGAATCACTCTGTATGGTTTTGTTGTTTGTTTCCTTGTTTATTTTGTCCACAGACCCTCCCTATATCTCAAAAGCCAAGAATACTGGTGTTTCGGTTGGCCAGAAGGGTATCCTGAGCTGTGAAGCCTCTGCGGTCCCGATGGCTGAATTCCAGTGGTTCAAGGAAGACACCAGGTACCTCTGAACTAGGGCAGCTCTGAAGCAGAGCTGATGGACCATTCCTCACATGGAAGGAAGATGATAAAGTACAGGAGAAAGATAAGGCAAAATCAAAATGTGTTACAGCCTCCTTAGTGACAGAGTCTCGGTTTAGAACTAGGAGAATAAAAATGAAGTAAGCTGGAAAGAGACAAAATGAACTGATCTCGTTTCAGAATCTGAGATGAGTTTTAGATGTGGTAGTCTCTGATGACTAGAAATCAAAACATTTTGAGTGTTGAGTGTGCTTATCCTTTCATTTATCCTCTTGGTGGAGTCTGTGGTACTTAGGGTTTGAGTTGGAGGGACTGAGTTACTTAAAGAAAAGGGTTTGGGGAAAGAAAGCCTCTTTACAGAATTTATCTATGAGGTCTTTGCATTCTCTCAGTGCCCACTGTCTGCTGTTTCCTTCCTTTGGTGGGACCAGACCAACAGTACCTTCTCTTATTTCAGATTAGCCACGGGCCTGGATGGAGTGAGGATTGAGAACAAAGGCCGCATATCCACTCTGACTTTCTTCAATGTCTCAGAGAAAGATTATGGAAACTATACTTGTGTTGCCACAAACAAGCTTGGGAATACCAATGCCAGCATCACATTGTATGGTGAGTGCAGAACGCCTGGATGCAGTGGGCTCAGCCACATGGGGGAGCTCCAGGGACCCAGGAGGGAGGACAACATGATCTGCTTGGCTTGTGTCCATCCATACTACTCAAATCACCACCCTTAGCTAAGAACTCCTTCTCCCTGTCATTTCCCTGGCATGTGATACAGTGATGTTTGCAAAGTGATTCATTCTCCTGATCACTGAAAGGCAGTTTGTTCCTTTTAAAAGGACTAAACCAAATTTCGAATCCATTTGAATGTGGAACCCATAAAGAAGACAACCACAGACAGTTCAACTGTACTACCTTGTTAAGTTCTGCATGGACAAACCAGATGTGATTTTAAGATCCAATACCTTCTACAATAAAATTCTGTGCTTCTGGAGTTTTCATTTATGGTGTTAAACTAAGTCAACTGCTGCCATCTTGATTCTCATGTTGACTGCTGTGCCATATTCTCATTGACTGAGATGAATGGAGCAGAGGTCTGAGTCCTCACCAGATGACTGCTCTATTCACAATTCCAGCATGAGGCCCTCCTCTGAAGTCGTTTCTCCCATAGGACAGAAGTACTTCAGAGGAACTAGGTCTCAGGAGCCATGACTGGCCTCCTAGAAGCCCTTTCCTTTCTTCACTTCATATTCCCACCCTGCTATGTGCATATTCTTGTCCGACATTTCACACCATGGGCCAGGGCCAGCTTATTTGTGTGTGTGTGTGTGTGTGGTTTTTTTTTTTTCTTTTTTTAATTTTTTTTTTTTACTTGTGTATGTATGTGTTTATTTGCTGTGGTTTAGTTAGAGGGAAGCATCCAGTAAGTAGGATGAGGAGGGATCCATATTTCCATGTGCATCTCAGACCCTGAACAAGCTTTCAGCATTGAGATGAACTAAACTTTGTCCACCAACCATCTGAAATGTGTGATCTATGTCTTTGTTTTCTCTCTGCATTGTGTGTGCATTGTGCTGTGTGTGTCTTAGAAATAAGCCCCTCATCAGCAGTGGCAGGTGGGTACAGCATGTTCCTTCCTTCCTCTGCCTGCCTGAATGCTTATGCTTTTGTATATAAGCCTTCTTCAAAGATAGGCTTGCCTGCTCCCCATCCCTGATGTACTTCTCCATAGTGGATAGACTTCAAGGGGTATGGTTTGCACAGTTTAGATAACAAGCATGTAGAATATGATGGCTTACACACACACACACACACACACACACACACACACAGCTATAGAATATCATTATAAATCTCAGGGGAAGTGGTTTCAGCCCCCAAATAATAAACTTCTACTTGGTTGCCTCTAACAAGAAGGAGTATTTCTGCATACAGAAGTATCAAGAGGAACCCAGCCAAATGGATTATTAGATGACTGTCTTTAAGGAGAAGTCACCCTAGTATGAATGTTTCATTCTTTTAGCCCAAAGCAAAGAGTGATACTGACTTAGTTATAAAGTTTTATTTTAAAATAGAAGTATATGAATATTATACCTACTATTTGCCAAATATTTACTAGTTTTTAGGCATCAAGCCAGTAGCATAAAACAGGTTATTAACACCATTTTACAGATAAGTAAAAGGAGGACCAAAGAGGTTGTGTGACACTAAAGACTGAAGCATGTAGCTAATGAATAGGCACAAAATCAGATATAAAACTCGACTCCTTTATTAAGTACTTGAGTATTTACCCAGCAATGATAACTGGGGGGAGAGACAAACACACACACACACACACATACACATACACGTTCACACACACAACACACACCCATTGTATATTTGGAAAAGGCAGCAGTTAGTGCCCAGCTCTTCTTCCAGAGATGGAAAACTCAAAGCCCTACTTTTCTAAGTAGGGCTTATCACTTGGAAAGTGATAACATTTGAATTTTAGAGACCTAAAATCAGCTCTGCAACTGTCACTTCTCACAACTCTGTATCCAGGGCAATCACAGACTAACATAGCCTGTCACACCTTAATTACCTTAACTGTACATCCCTTAGTCTTGAGGACACTGCAGGTAAAGAGCAGAATTAGGGTGCTGTCCTGCCTGTGACTTCACTTATGTCTTCAGTTTGTAAGGGTGTCAGTAGCAGGGAAAACAGACAATGGAAAGGCCTAGGACCGACAACCAGATGACTTGAATTCTCGTCTCTCTCTGCTGTTAAGGAAAGAGATGTGTCATAACAGATAACAATAGCCAATGTATACTAAGACCATATGAATCTTCTCAGGTTGTTGTAATAAAATGACACAGATTGGGTGACTTAAATTACAGACCACTTTTTTTTTTTTTTTTAATAATTCTAGAGGCTAGAAATCCAAGGTGTGAGTTCGGTCAGTTCCATTTGAGTAAGGGCTTGCTTCATGGCTTGTCACCTGTTGCTGTTTCCTTATGTAGCCTTTCTGCTGAGTTTTTATGAGGGAACAGGAGTGGAGAGAAACTTACTAGTGTCTTTTCTTATAAGGATACTAATAGTATTGGATCAGGGTTTTTCCAATGACTTCACTTAACCTAAAATACCTCCTTATATGCTCCATCTCCTAATACAATCACACTGAGTGTTAGAGGTTCAACCTAAGAATTCTGGAGGGATGGATGAAATTCAGTTTGTAGCAAAGACATAGATTTCCATCTCAGTTCAGCCACAAGTCAGTTGCATACTTGATGAAGATTTCTTACCTCATATACCATTCTTACCTCATATACCATTGGGATTTTAATGCTTGCTTTAAAAGGCTGGTGAGGTGGGTAAATGAGGGCACCCCAAAATAGGTTTAGGTGTGTGACTTTGACAGCACACAAAGACGGTAGGCCTCAGTTTGTAGAGCTGAAACTGGGATGATGCTCTCTTGGCCTGCTTATAAAAGAGTGTCACTATGAAATGTCAGTAGGATAATACTCATAATATGTGGCCAACTGAAAACTCTTGCATACCTGCTAGGTACTGTGAATCCCCCTGGTATGTGCCTCTCTGTCATGGCCCATGCTATCACTGCTTCCATTCCTGTACCTGCTTTCCTTTCTTCCATCTCCTTTGACCTTCAATTACAGCACACTCCAGTCCCTAATGTTCACTCTGTCTCACTTCACCTGATAGGATCCACTTACCTGTCATCACCTATTCCTGAGGAAAGCCTTCCCTGACCTTTCTTAAATCAGTTTCCCCCACTGTACACACTCCCATACTTTGTTTCTGCCTGCTGTACTCACTGTGTGTTGGTTAGCCTTCTTTGACAAATATATACTCAGTCCCTGTCATGAGCAGGTCACTGTTTATGATATACAGTAGAGATATGACAGATAGGCTCCTTGTTTCTGGGGCATAATCCTCTCCTTGAACTTTTGCTTTTGTTTTAACTATTGTATTCAATTAAAGTCCTTCTTCCCATTTAGCTTATAAGCTTCATGAACTAGGGACCATATCTGGCTTGATCCCTAGAATCCAACACAGAGACCCACACACAGTAACTGGTTAAGAAAATTTTGTGACTGACAGAATGCATGAATATGCTAAAATAAAAAAGTTGTGCTCCTGATGCCCAAAGTTCAGTGGCCAGGAATGAAATGTGACAGGATGCTATAGGGAAATAGTTCTTAGAGAGTCTTTAAGATCAGGCTCTGCTGTTTGCTGGCTGAGTGACTTGAAGAAAGTCAGTCTCAGATGGCCTGGTATTTTCATCAGTAAAAGCCTTCTGTGTAAAATGTCTTCTGTGGAACTCACACATACTAATTCTCTAATGCTAGGATTGAGTAGCAATAGATGCAGCACAATATCAGAGTAATAGTGTCCAGCCAGCCCACCTTTCTGCTGACCATGATTGTTCATCCTAGTGCTCAGTGCCTCATAATTACAGCTAATGATAGCCACAAACTACTTACTATGTATAGCACCACTGAACTAACTATTTTACATGGTTTGTCTCCCTGAATGAGTCTATAAATACCATATTTATCCAGATTTTGTACACAGGAAATTGAGAGGTGAGGCAGATAACTCAATCTCACTGATTTATAAGCACATGAGCTGTGATTTGCAACCATACACTCTAATTTCAGTACCTGAGGGCTTTACTACACTTCCAAACTAATTGTTAACGCTTGGCAACCCATCATGGATATGGTAGATGATCTGGATGGAACCCCATACAAATAAGCCATTTGCTTGGATTCTACTCTTGTGCAAAATTCTCCCTTCTCTTATCTACTCATTCTGCTAAAAGACAAATTTTACATTTAAAATTCATATGTTCATACTATCTAAACACACACACTATTCCCAGGTATTCATTTGTATTTACCTCACAATCTGTAAGTCCATATTTTGAGAAGCCCCTTGAACTATGTCCCTATAGGTTCCAGCAAAACATGCTTCCCTCATACATACCCTTTGTATATTTCTGCACCTACATGCAAAGAAAAAATAAAAATAGGACAAAAGCAATTTCAAAGGAACAAAAAATATAGAAGATTATGGCAACAATGGGTGGGTGAATGGGTTGAAACAGGAAATGATTAGGAAAAGTGAATAGCAACACAGCATGTGGGTGATCACCAAAAATCAGCCAGTGGTTGACATCTGCATGAAGCACTTCTTCCTCATCACACCAATTACTACCTGGCACAGAGCCACAGAGACAGGACTGTTGCCCAGGTAGAATTCAGCTCAAGTATCGAACTAGACACCCACTTCCCTCAGCCCCAGGCAACCAAAGTTTGTGCAAAGGCAACAGAATGCAGAGAAAAGTCCAGCTTCTATAGAGAGAAGGACTGAATTATGGTCTGACTCTGGTAGACAAGCCTTCACACTGTTTGTTTCTCAGTTGTTTTTGAAATACAAGAAAAGAACAAGAACACCCAATTTACCTTTAGGTTTCTAGATGTCTTCCCTGAATTGAGAAGAACTGAGGATGCAGGATGAGGGACAGACCTCCATAGCTGCGATCCATAACCTTGGAGATGGTGGCATGCCCCCTGTGCTCTTGAAAAGGAGCTTGCTCCAAGTGT